AATTGCAAAAGAAACAACAGATAAATATGATTAGTTGTGTAATATTTGGGAACCTCTTGGAGAGCAGGCAACCCCCTGGAATACGGCCAAGCACGATGTCCACGTGGAGCTATAGATGGGAAGGGGGGGCCCACCACCTGTGGCTTGGGGGCTACTGGAGCATTTCCAGCTGTGTCCAAACACTGCTGTACCAACATTTCCCCCAGACCCATTAAGAAGTCTGTGGATGCTGGTCTCAAGTGCAGAAACAGACTCACGTCAATCCAGAAACTCCTAATCTATTCTGCGTTCTTTCGGGGCCTGTCTTGAGAATCCCACATCCATGCACATGGAAGAGACCACATGAAACTAGGATTTGTTCATTCGTTTATTCTTTTTTTCCCAGTTATTTGTTCATTGATTTAGTCAATATTTCTTGAGTGACTTTATTTTCATGGTGCTAGCAGCATGAGATATGCAGTATGATGCCAACATACAAACTGCAAAAACAGGAAATACTATGCCATTTTGCTAAGGTGGTAAAATTATATTTGAAAGCAAGAAAATTACTGTCACAAAAGTTAAGGTGATGGTTATATCCAAAGAAGGCAAGGGAAACATCATTAGGAAGGACCACACACCCGCGGGAGGTGGCGGATAGCAGTCTCGGGTCGGGCAGCCCATCTTTCTGCACACTGATCCTTTGGCACACACAGAAAAGTGCATAGATATGGGCTCAGAACATGCAGGGTGTGGCAGAATAGTGGAAGTTTTGCACTTGAATGACTGTGCATTCTTACATCTCCCCTCCCCCTACTCCCACACAGTTTAAAATAACCACAGCAGCCATACTTTCCTTGGAAATCCAGACATAAAACAGCAGAGGTAAATAGCACCAGCTGCCTTCAAAATTAAACCACTTTCTCATTCTTATATATGTCGTTGTCTCTAATGGACAACTACAGACCAGAAGGCATTGGAAGGAACCCTAGGAATCATGAAAGACAAACGTAACTGACACTGCAGGCCACTGTAGATTTGGAGAACACAAGATATTCTTTTTTTTTAATAAATGAAGGTTAAAATTATTATCCTTGAATTAGTGAGAAAACATTGCATTCATAAAAGAATAGTTATGAAAAATAAATAGAGAACAAAAGGGGTCTTGAAAATAAGATCACAGAAATAAAAGATCACCAGGAAGTATGTCAGAAAAAATTGAGCTGGGTCTCTTGCAAAGCAATTGGCACTTGATAAAGTTTAATGCTTGACCTTGCTTCATCTAATTGCAAAAAAGAAAAAAAGAAAACCAAAAATATTCCAAGTTTTTGAGTAACACATGCTCATACCTCAACAAGAAAAGTTCCAAATTGCAAGATGCCCTGAACCCATTGTGGCAAAATGCTTTCTTGAACCTGTTTGAGATAGGCAAGGAAAGTCTCAACTGCAAAGAGAAAAAATTTAAGTCAAAGGGTAACTTGGGTTTGTGGTTGTTACCTGTGCAAAAGGGAAAATTGCCAGTCTGAGTAACAGAATAGCATCACTACATCAAATGGATGACTTACGCTCAGGGAGGTGGCTCTGTACATTTGGAAAGATTCCACCCAAGGCCACAGGTCTGTTGATGGCTGAGGAGAGATACACTTACCCAGTGTACTCTTGCTGCCCTGGAATTTCCTGACTAATAAATATCACTATTTATCCAGGCATCCTTATTTAATAGCTTTGAATTAGTTTTAATGTCATTAGTAGTTTGATGATTAAAATCTGGCTCTTTGACCACAATGATTAATCCTTTAGACCTAACATTGGATTGATGTTTTCCAGAAGAACAGAATTTTAAAAAATGGAGCAAAGAATATAAAAAAAGAAAAAAGAAAAGAAAAGTAAGCTTCCCAGAGCCGAAGTGACACATCAGTCATCAGACTCAAATGACATAGAAAGCTGAAGAGGATGAATAAGAAAACCTACTCCTGGACACGGCTTCTTCTCATTTCCAACCCCAAGTACAAAAAGAAAACCCTGAAAACATCCAGAGAGAATTAACAGGACACCAGAAAGGAATGAGAACTAGACAACCTTCCGACTTCCTAATTTTTACAATAAAGTCAGCACAATGTTTTCAATGTTCTAAGGAGAAATGATTTTGAATGAGGATTCTATAGTCAGCTAAACTAGCAAGGGAGTACAAGAGCAGAATAAGGCATGTTTAGGTAGTCAAGTACCAAGTTTCCACTTCTGTACACCTCTCTGAGGAAATGACTTGAGCAGAGTGAGAGAGAAAAGATGTGACAGAGCACACATAGAAATCATTTTTTAAAATTCCTGGATAACAACTGTTCAGGAGATAACAAATCTGAGTTAGAATAAGAAGCTGGTAGGCTCTGAGAAAAATGCATTCAAAGAGAAGAAGAGAATAAATTCTAAAAATTAGATAGGAGTGAATAAAGAATTAGAAACCACAGGGGAAAAAACAAAAGCTGAACAAAAACAATCAAGTCAATGATGACATAATCTAAAATGAGGCATAACTATAAGTAACTGATGGATTGTAAAGAGAGAGAATCTACTTGGTATAGACCTTAGAGACACTCTTTGAGTAACTAAGGGTCAGTATGCTGAGCCTACAGAGGTGTAATCCAGAATGCTATTTGGCCCTTCAGTATTTATGTGGAGTAAATAGAAGACTTGACTGTGGTTATCAATAATGATAATGTAAAAGTGGAACAACTCACAAAATTTAGAGGGAAAAGGCTAGTGAAATGGTGGTAGATAGGCTGGGGGTGCCAACATCCTTATACACTGAGATACTGCCAAGTTGATGGAACAAAAATACAGGTGTAAGTGTATTATGTAAGGCTATACATAAAACTCACAAAATAAAAACTCATAAAATAAAATAAATATAATAAAAATAATTGTGTTGCTAGGGGAGGAGGTGGGGAGGGATAGAATTATATGCAAAGGGGTATGAGGGAACTCAAAGGGTGATGGAGATTTTCTATGTCTTGACTTTGGTGGTGATCACGTGACTATTTGTGCTTGTCAAAATTCCCAGAACTGTACCCCAAGAAATGGTGAATTTCATTGCCTATGAATCATAACCCAATAAGCCCAGGAAGGGGAAAAGGAGATATAAGTGAACTAAATCCTCATCTTTCATAATGGGGAGTCAAAAGGAAATGTACAAAGTTAATAAATCATCAAATAGCAACATGAGCATAGAGTTAGCAAGGCAAATTACCCTCACAAGAAACAGCTAAAAGTGCTTCTTCTTGGAAGTACTACCTTGGAAGTAGACTACTATTTAGCTTTATAATTTTACTATCATGTTTGACTTATTTATTGGCATTAACATCTTACAAAAATTCTGAAACATTTTTAAAACACCGAAAAGTTTCCAGAGTACTACAAAAACTTCCATATATCCTCTGCCCAATAGTGTCCTTTATACCAAAGGACCTAGCCCAGGATCACATGCTGCTCCCAGTTACCACTTCGGTCTAGTCTCCTTCAACCTGAAACAGTTCTTCAGTTTTTTCCTGACTGTCATGACCTTGATATTTTTGAAGATCACATGTTGGTCATTTTATTTCATTCTTCAATTTGGGGTTGTCTGATGTTTCCTCATGATTAGCCTCAAGTTAGGTAATTTGGCTCTAGTATCACAGAAGGGATGCTGTGTTCTCACTGCATGCCAGTGGGGTTGTCCAAGAGGTTAATTCATTCTGTACTGCTGGTATAACTAAGATAACATCTACCAGATTCCTTCACTATAAAATTAGTTTTCTCCCCTTTACAATTGATAAAAGTATTTTAAGGGAAGATATTTTGAGACTATGTAAAATCCTCTTCCACACCCCATTTTCACCCATTGCTTTAAGATCTATTGACGCTTTATAACTGAATTGGTTGTTAGTGTGATGATTGCCAAATGGCACATTTTTGCTAAGTAGATTCCTAGATCCCTATTATTCAATGGATTATAATCTATTAGTATCATTATTTATTTTGATGCTCCACTTGTTCCACATTTGGTCAGTGGGAGTCCCTTTGCTGGCTTCTGTGTCATTTTGACATGTCCCCATCACTCTTTGGGCGTTTCCTTACTTTCTAGCACAAGAGGATGTTCCTGGCTCATCTTGTCCTTTCTCTGCCTCAGTCTTGAAATCAGCCAGTTCTCCAAGTTTCCTTTTACTGAAGATTAGTATTCAGAAACCAAGCTTTTTGTGTTTGGTATGTTCATCGCTATCAGGGTCTCAAAACTTCCAGGACCTTTCAATGGACACAGCTAGGAAATATACATATGTATGCACGTGTGCATATACACACTTGTACGTATATATTCATTGCTGTATCTATCTACACCTATCAACAACAACGAATTCCTATGAATAAATCCAATTCCATTCCAATACCAAAAAAAGGTTTATCTTAGTCTTCCTCTTTTCCATATTTGTATCACTCTCTAAGAGTGAAAAATGTTGGCTCCCATCATCCTTAGTATATTTACTTTTGTGCTTAATTCCTCTACGTGTATCCAATTTCCTGATGCCATTAGGTTGCCACCCTACTTATACACTCTCTGTGTGGCTTCTGGCCTCTGCCTGGGTGCCTTCCTATTCCACTTAGCATGCACTGTTTTGATAAAAACTTAAAAAAAAATCAAGTAGCCAAATACTATAAAAGGAACAAAAAATAACATTGAGAATTTGTCTCATGTAATATTCTTACTGCTCTAACAATCAAGAGGGAGCCCAGATCTACGTTTTCCCATTGCCCCAACTGTAAGGCACCTTAAAGCTTGACCTGTTCTAGAAAGAAGTGAGAGGTGCATAGCTTGGCTCCAATATTCCCCAGTTGATATCATGCACTGCCCGTGGCCTGAACACACACACACACACACACACACACACACACACACACACACACACACACACACACACACACAGTCTCACCCACCCCACTTTAAGCTCTGAGCACTGGGTAACCTGAGTTTACCATGCAGAGAAAGTCTCTACCTGAAATATCGCAGTAAACAGCCTGTTGGTAGAGCTTGGCTTCTGGAGGGTTAAAGTACACAGTGATTTCAGCTGATGAGTTGGGCCAGACATCACCTTCCTGAAAAGCAGAAAAGAACCATTAAAAAACAATATGCTGGAAGGAAGATACTGTATTTAATTGTTGTCATTATGTTATAATTCCCTGAAATAGTTCTCTAAAAATTTTATTTACTTAAAGTGTGCAACATGATGTTTTGATATACATGTACATAGTGAAATGAACACTACAGTCAAACAAATTAGCATATCCATCACTTCACATGGTGACCTATTTTGTGTGTGGTAAGAGCACCTAAAGTCTACTCTCTTAGCAAATATCCAGTGTACAATACATTACTGTTAACTAAAGTCATCATGCTCTACACTGGGACTCCAGAACTCATTCATCTTAAAACTGCAAGGATGTACCCTCTGACCTACATCTCCCCATTTCTCCCACCCCGACCCCTGTGTAACCATCGTACGACTCTCTGTTTCTATGAATTCTACTTTTTTTTTTAGATTCCACATATAAATGAGATCATGCAGTATTTGTCTTTCTGTGTCCGGCTTATTTCACTTATCACAATATCCTCCAGGTTTACTCATGTTGTTGCAAATGTCAGGATCTTCTTTTTAAAGGCTGAATAATATTCCATTGTATACATACACAATTTATCTATTCATCTGTCAAAGGAGACTTAGGTTGCTTCCACAGCACGGCTATTGTGAACAATGTTGTGATGAATGTGGGAGTGCAGGTATCTATTCAAGGAGCTGACTTCATTTACTTTGGGTATACACCCAGAAGAGGGATTACTGGATCACATAGTAGTTCTATTTTTATTTTTTTCAGGAACCACTATGCTGCTTTTCATGATGGCTAGACTAATTTACATTCTCACCAACAGTGTACAAGGGTTCAATTCCAGGACACTTGAAGGAAACATTTTTACAACAAATACAAGAAAGCACTATTTAACCCAGCAGATAGTAAACTGATACTGCTTGTTAACTTATGAGGAGGTACAAGTTACAAATAAGCTTCAAGGATAATTTCAGTGAGTTTATGCTATATAATGAGTTCCTAAAGGAAACTAGACTGTATAGGGCATTTTACAAATGTGTGTATTCAGTAAACATTCACTGTGTGCCCAGCACCTGGGCTTTGGAAAGGGAGATGACAGTAGGGAGACTTAGCGGGATGACAAGCCTGCATGAAAATAGTTTATAGGATGTGTGATAAGTGCCGCGCCTATATAAATAAAGTCCAGAGGAGCCACAGAGAAACAAGTACCCAATTTCCTTGGTGGAGGCACCACTTTTCTAACTTCTGAGGTGACAGCAAACACTCTTATTCTATAAAAACGTGGCAATAATGGCCTGTGACAGACCAATGGCTAATCACCCTACTTCTGAGTCAGTGTGCTACTTCTCACTGTCATTCAAACCACCCAAAAGTCATAATAAGGAACTCTAGTTTTGAAACTATAATACAACATGCCATATATAAGAATCCCCTTGTTAAGCATACTTTGATAAAAAAATTTTGTACTGGGCCGGCCCGGTGGCGCACTGCTACAGTGCGCCACTTGGGAGCGCGGCGGCGCTCCCGCTGAGGGTTCGGATCCCACATATAGACCAGTTCCCACTCACTGGCTGAGCGAGGTGCGGGTGCGACACCGAGGGTTGCGATCCCGTTGCCGGTCCCGGTCTGGTACGGGCGTGACACTGAGGGTTGCGATCCGTTGCCGGAAAAAAAAAAAAAAAAAAAAAAAAAAAAAAAAAAAAAAAATTTTGTACTGTCCATGTAACCCGGGCCTCTTTACTAACTTCTCAGGGCTGTAAAAGAGATACTAATAGCGCGTGCCTCAAAGGGGTTTCTAAGGTCTAGGAAGTCACGCAGGTCAAATGCTTTACCCCATGTTCGGCATGTGGTAAGACCTCAGTAAATAACTGTTTACTACTATAGATATTATTTTTATGCCACTTAGAAGGACTAAGATGGAAGTATTGAAAAATGGAGCAAACGTATGTGTTTTTGTACATAGAGCCAAATGAGCATGAGTGATAAACACATCCAAAAATCTATAAACAGTCCTACCAGCTAAATAGAAAACTGAGGAAAGACAACTTGACAAATTATTAGACTCCAGTTTCAGACAGTCCCCAATACATACTCTATTTCTACTCTGGCTAGACATGAACATACTTCTGTGCTGAGAACAGAACAAAATGGTTTAAAATGCACACATCAAACAAGAGGGGAGAAATAGAAAACTAGAGCCAATTTGGATTTATTTATGAACACAGTGTGATCAGTGTACTTCTCAGGCAGTGTCCCTCCTGACTGCAGAATGAGGGCGGGCACAAAGACCCCAAGAAGCAGCAGTGAGGGCTGTGAATGTCACGCGGGCCCGGGGGGCTCCCATGTCCCCAGATCAGCTCTGTGAGGGTGGACGCTGCTCCATCTCCAGCGGCTAAACAGAGGTGGCTCTTAGTAGGTGATCAGTAAATATTTGTTTAATCAGCTGTATCTACTCAGTTTGTACACTGTGTAGTTATTAGCACACACCTATTCATCTTTGCAACCTTTGTCTACTTTCTCTTCACCTGGAGCCCCCAAAGTCATACAATTTTAGAGCTGAAAGAGACCTGTGAGGTCATGTAGGGAATAAAGATGTTCTGAGCACTTTCACTCCTTTGGGCATTTCACCAGGGTGCTCTTCCAAGCCTTCAAACAAGTACCTGTTTGCTTCTGATAAATGGCAAATACCTGTCCCCTTTTGATTGGTGGGAGTTTAGTGATGTGGAGTGTTAGGAACACTCACGGCTAGAATAGGCAGAGAGGCCAGCAGGTGAGGTGGCTCGTCATTCATGCCTTCAGCTCACCAAAGCTGTATCGGTGGGTATTCCACTTCAGAACCACTGAAGATGCTGGCTGCTTCCTAACCCATGAGACAGATGTATGCCCTGGCGTGTTTAGATTCTGCTCTGCTCAGGTGTACAGAATGCATGTAGCTAACCTGCTCCTACACAAAGTGACTGACCAAAGGGCCAGGAGCCATCTTGGATCCTGAGAGAACCCATGCTAGAAAAGTCTCACCAGAATGGTAGGAAATGGCCCCCAAAAGGTTACACTGGAAATCAGTTAAGCTCAGTGCACGTGGGAAAGTCAAGGGTCTTATGGTTTGCGGTGGGCCAGACTGCGTTTAAAAGCATTGTCCCAGCAAGAGCATTCAGGTCCATGTGCAGACAAGAAGACAATGCACTGAAGTTCTATCACAGAAGCACCCTTGGACATGCTTTCATCACAAAAGTCTGATTAGGAGAAATGGTGGGTTGGAAAATATGACATATTCCACAGAGGCGACCAGAGGGAGCGTCGACATTCAGATGTGATGGGTGAGAGGATCATCTGATGCGGAGGTTCCCTAGAGGCCAAGAAGCCCTTCTGCTTGGTGAGGGAGGACCAGCACCAGGAAACCTGAGCCCACAAGGTTCAGACTGAGCAAACGGGGCCCTGGGCTCAGTGATTTCTCATCCTGGGCTGCAATGTTTTATTGTGTTTGTGACAGCCACTCGTGACTTGCAGCCTTTACTAAGCCCAGGAGATAATCTGAGGACAAACCCCATTTATTCTAAAACCCTCTCCTGGGCTTGGAGCAGGCAACGTTTATTAAGAGGTCCTTGTGTATCTGTAAAAACAGAAGTGTGGTCATTCAGTTTCCTCTCACGGAGGGATGCTCTTAATGTTACAGATTTGAAGGAGTTAGGAACAGGTAGGACACTTTTATTTTTCAGTTGGGATTCAAATAAAAGTTAAAGAACTTCTATTCCTTTATAGCAAAAACTCAATATAGCATTTTCTAGCAAACAAGAGTGCAAACTCCAGAAAAAGGCAAGACGCCTTAAAATGACTCTCCTTTTATTTATATGTCTTTGAAATATTTCATATTACTTCTCCAGCACATCTGAAATTAACTTCCATGTCATTATGTCTCTGAAAAGAATTGTTCTTTCTTTATTGCTCAGTTCTAAAGTCTCTAAAAAACAAAACATTCAGAAACTTCCCTACTGGCTCTGACATCAATTTTCCTAGTCTTATGAAATCTGCCCCATCACTCAGAACTCCCTGCCATTCTGCTTTTTATCTATAATACATGACCTCTCTCCCATCACTGCCCATTTTCCTGCTCCAAATGAGAGATAGAGTATATAGGATTTAATCTGCAAGTGCCTATGACCTTGTTTGTTGAAAATAACTGTCAAAATGGCTTTCAGTTATATTGTAATTATCTTTCTTTTTGGTCTTAATGTTTTGTTTTTCCCTCTAATCCATAAAGAAAAAGTAATTGCATTTTACTTATTAATCAAGTGACCTGCTAGAAGAAATCAACTTTGAATTTTTAGGTCTAAAGCTAATTCCCATATTGTGGTTTTTGCCCAAATATTAAATATCATTGGACACAAAATTTCATGTTTCTTTCTGGAACAAAAAGAAACAGCCAAGTGACTTGGTGGCCACAGTTCTGAAACTTTCCAAAAGCTATCTATAAACTGGTCCATGACAGGTGATGATAGAGTTTGGATGTGTTGTCCCCACAAAGCTCATGTTGAGATCCGATCCCCAATGTGGCAGTGTTGGGAGCTGTTTGGGTCATAGGGGCGGATCCCTCATGAATAGATGAATGCTCTCCCTGGGGGTGGGGGTAGTGAGTGAGTTCTCCCTCTATTAGTTCCCGCAGAGCTCGTTGTTTAAAAGACCCTGGCACCTCCCCTCTCTCTCTCTCTCTCTCTTGTTTCCTCTCGCCATGGCCATGTGATCTGCTTGCACCTGCCGCTGCCCTGCCGTTTTCCACCTTGACAAGAAGCAGCCTGAGGCCTGTGCCCGATGCAGCTGTCCCAGAATCGTGAGCCAAATAAACCTTTTTAAAAAATAAATTACTCAGTTTCAGGAGTAACTTAGCACACACCTATTCATCTTTGCAACCTTCGTCTGCTATTTTCTCTTATAAGCAACAGAAATAGACTAATACGGGTGTTAAATATGATCATCAGAAAGGTGTCCTTTCAAAG